GCGTTGCTCTCTCACTTTAAATACTTAAGGCAGGAAGGTACACAATTATTGTGTAGGGATGGATAATGCTTCCTATGAGGTCTGCATAGCAGGAGAATTGCTAATTTGCTCAAATCTCCGAATGCTGAACAATTCCAAGAGGACACACAAACAAATCCAAGTAAATACAAGTTTAAGAATGAACACAGTCATAGAGCAGTACATTTACAAACAAGCTGGTTTAAGAAAGAAATTAAGGGGCCGGGTGTGTGCCACACACCTTTAATTCCAGCACTCTGGAGGCAGAGGCAGGTGGATCTCTGTGAACTCAAGGCCAGCCTGCTGGTCTACATAGAGAGTTCCAGGCCAGCTGGGGCTACAGGGAGACCTGTCTCAAAAAGATGGGAGGGAGGGAGGAAGGGAGGGAGGGAGGACGGACGGACGGAAGGAAGGAAGGAAGGAAGGAAGGATCAAGACATCTATACTCAGATAATCTATATGTTCTATGTTCTTTTAAAAGATGTAAATGCCCAGTGTGGCAATTCATATCTATTTTCCTAGTACATGGGAGGCAGAGGCAGGAGGATCACAAATTCAAGGCCATCCTCAGCTGTATGGTGAACTACATGAGATCCTGTTTCAAAACAACAAAAACGAGCCATTCGTGGTGGCACATAACTTTAATCCCAGCAGCACTTGGGAGGCAGAGGCAGGTAGATATCTATGAGATCAAGGTCAATCTGTTTACATAGTAAGTTCCAGTCCATCTCGGGCTACAGGGAGACCCTGTCTCAAAAAACCAAAACCAAACCAAAACAAAAAATAAAAATAAAAACAAGGACTGGGAAGATGACTCAGTTGGTGAAATCCACAACCCTAAAATCCATGTAAAACCTAGTCATGGTGGCATGTGCGTGCAACCCCAGCACTGAGAAGACAGAGACAGGTAGTAGGTTCCAGGGGCTTGCTTGCAAAACAGCAAGCTTCGGGTTTAGTGACAGAACTTGTCTCAAAAAATAAAGTGGGAATTAGAGAGATGACTCAGTGGTTAAGAGCACTGGCTGCTCTTACAGAAGACCAGGGTTCAGTTCCCAGGATCTACGTGACAGCTAACAATCATCCTTAACTCCAGTTCCCAGGGATCTGTTGCCTTCTTCTGGCCTCCAGGGGAGTTGCACACATGGGTGCACTTATACATACAGGCAAAACACCACATTACTACCACCATCACACCATTACCCATAATCCCCAGCACCCATTTTATTTTTCTTGCAGTGCTATGGGTAGAAACCAGGGCCTCAAATATGCTAGTCAAGTGCTCTACCACGGAACTACACCCCATTCTACAACATAGTCCCTTTCTTTTGTGAGTGATTTTTATTCTTGTTATTGTTGCTTGTGTCTTTTGAGCTGGTCTGGAACTCAGTATGCAGACCAGGCTGACCTGGAACTCACAGAGATTCTCCTGATTCCGAGGGCCGGGATTAAAGGTGTGCGCTGCTATGGCTGGGTTTCTTTCATGACTTTTAAAAGCTTTATAACCCTAATAATTTCCCTGCAGACACTTTAGATAAGACAGGATTGTGAAACATAGGAGTATCTTATGCACTCAGTGTAGCTCAGGGAGAGAAGGCACATACAAAACTCCAAATTCAGTCCCTCCCTGACACCAAAAAAAGAAAGCAGGACAAAATAATGTATCTTATCTAGAAACTGAAGAACCCAAAGGTACCAGATTAGAATACTGATCTTCACAAACAGTGCTTTGCCCAGTGAACTAAAAGGAAATACAGTGCGGCAGAAACAAAATGAGTAGCCAGTGGAGCACAGGAAGACGAAACCAGCCCACTGTGGGCTCTGTGGCTCCTTAGGTTTACTCTTAACATCACTACCATCTGCTTCAGACCTATGAAAATGGCAAGTCTGCATGGTTGAGGCTGGTGGCTGTTTCTGTGGGCAGCCTACTACGCTCTCTTCCATTTCAGAAATCCAAATGGAGAAGTCCACACACCCAACACTTTGCAGTGGGACCTCATTTGGAGACAGGGTATTTAATCAAGCTAAACTGAGATCTGTAAAGTAGATCCTAGGTAGACATGGTGTCTGTGTCTGTGATTCCAGCACTCAGGAGATGGAGGCAGAAGGATCAGAAGTTCAAGATTATCCCTGGTTACATATCTAGTTTGAGACCTGCCTGGGCTATATGAGATCCAGTCTTAAAATAATAATAATAATAATAATAATAATAATAATAATAATAGGGCTATAGAGATGGCTCAGTAGTTAAAAGCGCTGGCTGCTCTTACAGAGGACCCAGATTTGGTTCCCATCATTCTCATGGTGCTAACAACCATGTGTAACTCCAGTTCCAGGGGCTCGGCGATGCCTGGTTCTGGCCTCTGCAGGCATTGAACAACATGGGTGCACTTACATGCAGGCAAAACACTCATACACATTAAAATAAAAGAAAATAATAAAATAATGCTCTCATAAAAGAGGCTCCAAGCTGGATGTGGCAGTCTACACCTGTCAGTCCCAACACTCAAGAGGCAGAGGCAGAAGGATTACCAGAGGTTTGAAGCCAGCCTGGTCTTCATAATATAGCTCCAGGTTGGTCAAGGGTACATAGGATGATCCTTTCTCAAAAAAACAAACAAACAAACAAAAAGAGCCAGGCATGGTGGCTCAGGCCTTTACTCCCAGTGCTTGGGAGGCAGAGGCAGGAGAATCTCTTTGAGATTGAGGCCAACCTGGTCTACATAGTGAGTTCCAGGCCAGCTGGGGATACAGGGAGACCCTGTTGCCAAAAGACAAACAAAACAAAACAAACAAAAAGCCACAAAGGCTCCAGAGAGCCAGCTATGCCAGAGGACACAATACAGCGAGATGGTATGTATGAGGACGCTAAATGTCTAGTGATCTGGTCTTAGTTCTAGGGCTGGAATTTGACTTAGGGCACCAAGCCCTGGGTTCAATCACCAACACACATGCAAATACACACACCACTTTTGTTGTATTATAAGTTATATAGTCCAAGTTTTTTGTTCTTGTTATAGCATCTCAAAAGGACAGTGACACACTCTTTGGCATCGTCTATACTTTCCTTCCAATTCATTTGACTAAATTAACATATCCTACCTAGAACTCTGGTTTCAGGAAAATCACGTCTGGAGTCTGGATAAGCAAGTGCCCTCACATTTCATTCAGACCTTTGAGAGCTCAATAAGGAACATCTCAGGAGGCTGGAGAGACGGCTTACAGGTTAAGAACTTTGGCTGTTCTTGCAGAGGACCTGGGTTTAATTCCCAGCACCCATATGGCAGCTAACAACTGTAACTCCAGTTCCAGGAGAT